TGTTCTCGTGTGTCTCGTCAATTGTGATTGAATGGTGGACCTTGTGCTTAAGAATAGAAGAGAAAGAAGTAAATAGTATCTATGTTCAGAAAGGGCTGTGCCATTGCTGTTCTCAGGATGGTAGTGTAGGAGGTTGATTGAATCTAGTCTGCAGAGGACAAGCCAATCCTGGCATTGGTAGATGATCTTGGTAGCTTTGGCACACTGTTTTTGGGGGGATCCATGTTCTCTTGTGGCTTTCTGCTTCATAAGGAGCGGGACAGTCCTGATTTTTAACAATTTTTCCCATGCCCCGCAGCGTTTTAAAAAATCCCGATTTGGAGTGCAGTGTAGTAACGATGACATATGCAATTTTCCTCTAGTTCTTAAATGCTTCCTCCCCCCCACTACCATGATCCCAATTCTACCTTACATATCCGGCTGGACCGGAGGAGGTGCACTGGCACAGATAGGAACTGGAAATACAGTGAACCCAGGACAGATGAACCCCCCAGGACCAGTGGAGAGAGTGGCGATGGCGGGAGGGTGGAGGGAAGGAGAGGGAGAAAGGGGGAACAGAGGACAAGGTCTACATGTGGCCTCCTCCCTGGGGGACGGACAGCGGAGAAGTGGGTGAGGGAGACATTGGATAGGGTAAGAAATGATAAAATAATAATAAATTATAAATTATCGGGGGAGGGGTGAGTGGGAAGGGAGGGGGGAAAATGAGCTGACACCAGGGGCTCAAGTGGAAAGCGGGTGTCGTAAGAATGATGAAGTCAACATATGTACTAAAGTGCTGGACACAGATGACGTATGTACAGATTGTGATGAGTTGTATGAGCCCCTAATAAAATGATTGTTAAAAAAAAGAAAACAAATACATTAAATTGAAAGCAAAAAAAAAAAATCCCGATTTTTGGAAAGAATGCACGACAAGCTAGGGTATACGGTTTTCAGCTGCCATGTGGCTATTTCGCCAGGATATGAGTTTTATCAATGGTGTCCAGCTTTACCAATGTTAAAATCTGGTCACCTTACCTAAGTAGTGCGTTTTAAAATTGTGTGACCCCTCCGTGGGTTTGGGAAGGGAAATCGAGTCGTGTGCAGAAGCTGTGGATCCACAGTGACGGGCCACTGCCAGGTGTTTACACAGGGTTGAATGCTGCTGTGGGTCGGGGCCAGCGAGTTGGTTGCCACCTTCGAGAACGTGTCAACAACAGAAGGACACCCTGCCCTGCCCTGCCCTGTACCCCCCCCACCCCCCTACCCCCGCTGTTGTTACAGTTGAGCCCATGGCTGCAGCCACGCTGTCCGTCTGTCATCAAGGGTCTTTCTCCTTTTACCAATCGGAAATTGGGACAGAAGCACAGCTGGGTAGTTTATTTGATGACTTGCCTTAGAAGCCCTTTCACCTGGGTGGGATTCCGCAGGGTCTGATTCAAGGGAAAATCCTAATTAAACCGACTGATTCATTAAAAGCCCTTGGAGAGCCCGGGCGGCACTTCCTCTTGGACTGCTTTAGGGAAGTGTGGGCTGTGACGTCATTTGTGCTGTCCTGTTGGACAGGTACTCAGAAGATGTACAAACGTCCCAGGGGGGTGCCAGGGGCACCCTGCCTGTGAGGGAGTTTTGTTAGATGAACTCATGCTTTCAACACACTCAGACTGTGTGCTCTTTGCCGGGTGGGCGCTGTGCTAGCTACTGGGGAGCAGGGTAGTGAGCAGTACCAGACGGACGCATCATGGAGCTTCCTCAGAGGGCCTGTCTAGAAGTGACACGTTAGGGATTGGTGGGCTTTTCCTCAAAGGGGTCTCTCATAGTTCCATTTGATGAGTTTTTATTCTTTCCACCTCTGCTCTTTGGCTGGCTGGGTTTCTTCCCCGTGTCCAGATACTGGAATGAACGGAGCATGACATCCGGGGCCCATTTCATCATCTTCTCCCTATCCCTCTTCCCCATTCCCACCCCCAAACAGGGCTACCAAGAGCTGACTGTAGTCTAATACTAAGTGACCAAGACTTTAAAGGGGCTGGGTGGCCTGTTCTGCACTAGCACGGAGGAGCTCTATAACCCTCGTCTTCCCAAGTCTGCCCAGCCCCAGGGGTTGGATAATAGGATCTCTTAGTTATTGATTCCAGGCACACAGAGGTTAAGAGATTTTAAATCGCACAAGATTGCTTCACATTATGGCCATAGCTGTCCCCACTTGGCCGCCCTGGCTCCCCATAAACACCTGTTAGTGCTAATCCTGTTGGCTTCACATTACTGAAAAAACAGAGCAATTAAGCACATGTCACCGATGTATCAACTGAAATAGCCGTTTCAATTTGAAGTATTTACTTGGCTTCTGACAGTTGGCCAAACATACGGTTCATCCAGCGGCTCTGCCCCCTGCCCTCTTTGGTTGTTGGGGGCACTGGAGTCGGTGCTGACCCAGAGCGACCCTGTGTGCAACTGAATGGGCCGCCGCCGCCCGCTCCTGCACCAACAGTGGTTATTGTGTTGAGCCCTGTGCTGCCACCCCTGGGTGAATCAGTCTCTCCTGGATCTTCCTCGTTTTCGCTGACCTGCTTTACCAAGCAGGATGCCCGTCCGGGGATCGGTCTCTTCTGATGACATGTCCTCTAGTAGCTTTGTAATGTTTGAAAGCTATGTGGGGACATGGTGGTCCATATGCTTTGAAGTCATTCATGTTTTTAAAATGATGGCAGTGGCATATGTTTTAAGGAAGGTTAAGTGCTTTGCTCAAGAGGATGGTGGTGGGACCTATTCTTCTGTGACCAGACCCTTCAATTGTGCAGCTTCCACCCTTGAACAGTTAACCGGGGGATTTGCAGAGCTGCCAAAGAGTCCCTCAGGCAGCCTTTTCAGATAAAAATAAACACAGCCCACATTCAAGAAAAGAGGAAGAACCAGCTGTAATGAGCCACAGAGCGCATTTGCTCTCTGCACGGGAACTGTGCATTTGCGGGCGTCACCGACAATTCTGGCCTCTAAGCCAACGAGCAGCTGACGCTGTGTCCTGGAGGGACTGTGAATTACAATGCCTCTGAACAGTCCAAGGTGTGAGAGTGGTCCTGGAGAAACAATTAAGCCTGGGAAGTTCACTTAACCCCGGGCTGAGACACTTGAGCTATGATTATTGGCAAAGCTTGCTTCCTTTCCGAGTCAGCTGGAATTTAGTGGGCAGGGTCCGAGGGTTTTGAGACAGCTTAAATTAGAAGCTCTGTCCAATAGTTGTGCCTCTGACTGCTGTTCGAGGTGGATTTGTTGCTGCCGGTTAGTGTTCGTAAAGCCTGCGGTGTCCGCCCTGATGACGTGTGAGCAGATGGCTGTGGAACACGTGGAGTATGGTTTCATTTCAGTAGGACTCAAAATAACACTAGAGATGGACTTGTTCAGGTAGGAAAGGGCTGGCTGTTCAGGATGTGACTGTCGCTGTGTGTCACAGTCACTTGACACCGGCGAGGTTTCCAGAGGTTGGCCCGTGCTCCTCTGTGAATTGCTTACACGTCTCAGCTTCCCGGAAGAGGAACAAGTTCTGAAGCTGATCGTGTACTAGACTGGCGTCCCTCAGCATAGGCTGGGACATGGTCCGAATTTAGATTTAGGAACCGTGGGCGAGAGTTGTGACTGTGTGAGGTGTGCAAAAGCCACAGCGCAGACAGCCACAGGGCCTTTGACCTTGATTCCTAATGAGATGGGGGGCAGACCACCCAAGGATAAGACCACCTGGGGAGCTGAAGCTGGCTCCGCCTCTGAGGCATGATGCAATGTAACACGGGCCTGGGATGAGACCAATGAAAGCTTTAGGCCCCAGAAGTTCCAAGCGCTTCCTGATTGGTAGAAAGGAACATCTGTTGGGGGTGGTGTAATTGTGTGTGGGGATGGTGGAGGTGATGCAGCACCTTGAGGCAAGTCCCTCACAGATCTCACCACATGTGTCTCTTCATTTCTGGCCTTTTTTGTTATTTTGAAGCCATTATTTCTGGTGCGATATCCCCTGTGATTTCTGTAAGTTGTTCTTTGCTGAGCGAGCATGAAGGTTAAGGGTCTGTGTGAGCAGCTGGGGTCTGAACTGAACGGGAAGGGAAGCAGATTTCTGCAGGATGCAGCTGGCGTGTGGCTTAGAATTGGTTATCTTTCCCATAATTTGCCATCAGAAGCGGGCAATTAGATTCTCCCTGGACCCTCTCACGTAATTGGATTAGTCGGCAGGCGTCACTAGAATCGGCCCTGACTTCACAGTACCTAAGAGAAATGGGTGAGTGTGTCCACGAAGAGGCATGCACGGGAATGCTCAGAGCAGCCGTAGCCCCAGTAGTTAAAGATGGGCAACCTCCCAAACATCTCTCCAAAGAGAATGTGTGGCCGTCGTGGTACGTGTACACGATGGGATGCTGCCCCGCCCCTTGAGAGAACAAGCTGCTGCCGCTGGAAACACTGGGTACAGTTAGCTCCTAGTGCTGAGCCGAGAGCCCTCGCCCAGGACAGGCAGCACTGCTTCATTCAGCCACGTCACAGGAAACTCAGGAGTAGGCATGCTAGATGTCAGGTAGTGGTTAATTGTGCTTAGAGGGGTGACAGACTGCTGGGAAATGGCATGTAGGAGTTGTGCAGGTGCTGGAATGTTCTATATCTCTATCTGGGTCATGGTTATAAAGCTCTGTCCATATGTAAAGGCTTATTGAGCTGTGTATTTTTTATCTCTTAAAAAAAGACCAAAGACCAAACCGAAGACTATAAACGTGTATAGCCCAAGCACATTTTCGTCTTTGCATAGAGCCTTTCTCCTGCTCCCAGTACACTTTGAAGGCATGCTGGCAGTGAAGGTCTGATGAGCTGGCTTGAGAGCAAGGGAGTTTTTGCCCAAGACATCCCCCCTCTTGGGTTGAATGTGATAGAGCATCAAGTTTGTTCATGTATTCACTCACTCACTCACTCACTCATTCACCCACCCACCCACCTCACCCACCTCACTCACCTCACCTCACCTCACCTCTCTGTTTCTCTTTTAGGCACGGTGGTTCTGGGAAGCATACTTCCGGTCAATTAAAGCCATTGCCCTGGCCACCTTGCAGATCATCAATGACCGGATCTACCCATATGCTGCCATCTCTTATGAAGAATGGAATGACCCCCCCATGGTGGTAAGTGAATTCCAGTGCTAGCCACGTGGGGCCTGGGCCAGCTGCCAGAATGGGACCAGGGACCTGCCCAGCACGTGCCGTCCTAGGTCGTGTTGAGAGTGGTGTGCTCGTAGACTTGGGACCCGGTGAGGCCAGCTTTCTCTGCCAGTGAGGATTAAAAGTAAGCAGCACGGAAGCACTGGTGTTTAGTGCGCCTAGGATGACAGTCTGTGTTTCTTTTGCAGAGGTACATGGGGAAGCATGTGTCTTGTTGGATAGCAAAGACTTCCTGGTGACAGGTCATGCTCAGAACTTTTGCAGAAGTTCTGTAAGCAGCTTAATTGTTTCTAACTTCCTCTCTGCTAAGAAAACTCTAGTGGGGTAGTGCCTTATGCCTCGGGCTGTCCACCACAAGGTGAGCAGTTTGAAACCACCAGCCACACCTTGGGAGAACGCTGAGTTTGTTTACCCCCATAAAGACTTCCAGTCTCAGAAACCCACAGGGCCAGTTCTCCTCTGTCCTGTAGATCGGCTTTGAATTGGAATTGATTCCATGGCAGTGAGTTTGGTTTCCTGGAGTACATATGCTCGGCCAGGGCCCGAGATGATGTTCTTGGTCATAAACTCTGGATTGGAGAGACTTCTTTCCAATGGAGAGACATTTCTGCGTGAACTTTTCTCCTTGGAAGACATTTCCCACCAAGTGAAGGTTCCTTACCCAGAGACCGGTTTGTGTTTCTGTTTGTAATTTTCGTGGCTCTTCATGTCAAGGCTGCCGGCAGCCCTGCCTTTCCATCTCTCGGGGCTTTTGTTTCTCTGTCTGGCCGGCAGTTACCAGCACGTCTTTCCCATCCCCCTGCATCCCCGGGCCTGCATCCATGTTATTGCGAGTCTTACCTCCTGGCGACCCGCACTCCTCCCCTGTAGCTCTCCGCTGACACTCATGACTGCCTCGCCCCTGGTTCTCAGCCAGGCTTGAGACTGCAGAAAGACAGACCCTGGGGCTTGAAGGTGGAAAGGGACCGTTCCTTCGAGTCAGCATTAGATTAGAGCAATAGTTCGCAACCTGTGGGTCTCGACCCCTTTGGGGGTCAAACAGTCCTTTCACAGGGGTCCCCCGATTCATAACAGTAGCAAAATGACAGTGATGAAGTAGCAACGAAAATAATTTTATGGTTGGGGGGGTCACCACGACGTGAACTGTATGAAAGGGTTGCGGCATTGGGAAGGTCAAGAACCACTGGATTAGAGCGATCCTGGGATCCCTGCTGTGTACCAAGCAAGCCATTTCCTCTCACTGATCATTTCTGAAGAGCTGAACGCAGCAGCACCCTGAAAATGGAGTGGTAGAGCGGAGTGTGCTCTGCTGTTGTTTTCAGCTACGTGATTGGATGCTGATGCCCCCTCGCATCAACACGTCGAAATGTATGTGCCCCGTCCCTCGTAATAGACACGTAGCTCTCTCACATTTGCTATCATGGATAACGTGAAGACATTCCGTATTTGTTTTTCTTCTCTGCATTGACTAGACCAGACCCAAGCAGAAAGGAAAAGTAATAGGGATGCCCCATGGCCATCGATGGGATGTGCGGGACCCAGTTTACGAACGGAGTTGAAAAAGCCGGACCTTGTTCCTATGAAGTCTTGCCAAAGCCACCGCTTAACCTTCATCAAAGCCCCCCGTTAGGGTTACACCCTTAGCCAGTGCTCCAGAGAGCTCGGCAGCCCTGCGTATTTTCATCTTGGCTCATCTGACTCCGCCCTAAGTTCCCAGACTTGGCTGATTGATGGCATCACTCGGCTGTGGAAACCTCCCTGGGGCAGCTCCCTGGGCTCCTCCCCTCTAGAGATTCTAAGTCACTGGGTTGCAGATGGAGGCCAGGGAGCTGTCGTTGCACCAGAACGCCAGGTCATTGCAACCATCAACCAAGTTTGGGACCTCGGTCCTATGTGAACCAGGATCATGATAGGTGTGTTATTTTTTTTATTTTTTAGTTGAACTTTGGTGCCCTTGTCAGGCTTCCCCAGTTGATCCTGTTTGCATTTCTGTCTGGACCCCAGTGAGTCCTCAGACTGGTGAAAACACCCCTGCTCTCATCAGATATTTCCCGAGTGCCTGCTGTGGCCCTGGCAGTGCACTGAGCCTGGCTCAGACTCCCCCCCAACCCCCCTCCGTGCGAGGGACAGGAGCACCTCTGGCTGCCTGCACTAGATGTCCAGACGGTGGCCCTCGCTCACAAAGGTTGTGGTTGTGGGAGCCACTGAAAATATCACTCAGCTGTAAACACCGAAGAGCAATAAATCACTCTGCAGACCGGAGAGCGCTGGCTCCGGTGCACGCTGCAGCCCGCCAGTTGAAAAGAGACCCTGCGAACAGTCTGCTTAACTCAACTCAGCGCCCTTGCCCTTTAACTTCCAGGTTGTGGAATGTTTCTCTGGAATTTGAAGATCAAACCTGCCTCCCAGGGGGCCTCCTTTGCTTCTTCTGGCCCCCTCTCCCTCCCACCCCCAGAGATGACAAAGCTATGTATGGAATTTGCATTTTTCAGCTTAAATTTGAAGTCTGTTCAAACCTTTCGCAGGAGCCTGCATGGCACCGGGGATTTGTGAGGGGCTGCTAACCTAAATGTTGGTGGCTCTGATCCACCCAGGCAGCCCCGTGCAAGAAAGGCCCAGCAAACTGCTTCCATGAAAATGGCAGCCAAGGCCACCCAATGGGGCAGTTGTTCCTCTACATCATGTGAGCTTGCTATGCGCAGGGCCCAGCTTGAAGCAGCTAACGACCAGGTTGCGAGGTCTCACTGCTTTTCTTGCCGAGGGACACATTGGCATGAGTGATCTAAAGAGATTCCTTCCAAAGTCTTTCCTTGACCAGCCTGTCCATTGGGGTTATTGAGTAGCTGTCCTTGCTTTTATGGAAATAAGGTAGGGAATCTTGGGTCCTCACCAGCCTGGAACCAAAGGAAGCCAATGTGGATCTAGAGATGCAGAGATGCAGGAATGCAAAGTCCCATCGATCTTGAAGTTGGACCCCAACCAAAGAACTTGGCAATTCTGGCGGTTAAGTAGAAAATGGAGCCAGCTAGAACACAAGCCAGAGCCAGATGAAGAGTGTACATAAAGAATACAAAAATACAAAGCCAGGGGTGTGGCTTAAGATGGTTGAGCCCCCCCAGATCTTCAGCCCTGAGGACTGTAGACACCAGAATGCAAAGGGACGACTCCCCCTCCTCCCCGCACATCTGACTGCAGGGCAGCGTCAGTAGTGGCAGGTGGGGAGTCTGCACACATGGTGTCCTTGGATGGGATTCTCCAGCCATGGCTTGCGTTTAGCCTCCTCTTACTGCTCCAAATGTCATGAATCAAATCCTGACTGTTTCCTTACAGTGAGTGCACCGTTTGTAGAAGGAAGGCAGTGGGCAGAGGGGTTTTTCAGAGTCTGTGGGAGCTTTACCTCGGAGCAAATGAAATACGAGCATCGTGAATGATTTCACAAACTCAGCTTTCATGCACCCGATAGCACTATTGAAAAAAGTGTGTGTGTGTGTGTGTGTGTGTGTGTGTGTGTGTGTGTGTGTGTGAGAGAGAGAGAGAGAGAGAGAGAGAGAGAGTGAGAGAGTGTTTGGGGTGAAAATTTACCTGCAAATCTGTTTCCCATTTAACAATTTATAAACATTTGTTTCAGGCCATTGATTGCATCCCCTCAGTGTAACAGCCCTCATCTCACTTCCTCTCTGAAGTTTTCTTTTTCCATTTATCCTTCTTACCTCTCCCTTTCTGCCTTCTGAACTTGGTCCCTGTGCAAATGCTGCCCTTTTGATCTCGCTTGGTTGATGGTCCTAAGGAGAATGCACCTCGTAGGTGCCACTGTTTGCCTTCAAGGTCTAGCTAGTGTTGGGCCCCATGGTGGGAGTGCAGTCTCAGGTCCTCAGGGTCTGAGACTGTCAGACCAGTAAGTCGAGGCCTTCTTGGGTTTTGATTTTTGTTCCACATTTTTCTCTACTCTCTCCAGGCCCTTCTAGATGTGACAACCTTCAGAGCAGCCAGTAGTGGTTGCTGGACACCATCTAGTTATTCTGGCTTCTGGGTCTTGGAGGCTGAACCAGCTATCACTTAATAACATATCAAATTCCCCTTTCACCTTGTTTCAGGGCCACGTTTAAGTCTCCCTGGAATGATAGCATAGTAAAAGTCAAATGGGCTTGTTGGGTAATACCACCTCAGGAGAGTGAATTTTGTCGTCATTTCTTACATCCTATCTTAATTATGGGAGAAAGATGAGACTTTGTACTCCCATAAAGAGTTGCAGGTTTGGAAATCCATAGGGCAGTTCTATCTGTCCTGTAGGGTCGCTGTGAGTCAGAATTGGCTCAATGGCAGTGTGTGGTTGCTTATCCTACTTATGTGTCTCATAATTAATATTTGTTGTATTTTAATTAATGAGTTATTAAACCTGCAGAATGCCTACATTCAGCGTTTTTAGAGCCCCTCCCTCCCAGTGGTACTTCCATGTGTTGAGTCTTGCCATTATCCTTGGGAGGCACGAAGATTTTTAACTTTCTTTGCTTTACTTGATAGTTTATTGTTCTCCCATCTACCTTATTTTTAATGGAGTGGAACTTCTCTGAGTTTTTTTAAAAACTTTTTTATTTTGGCATAATTTCGGACTTATGATTTCAAAAAACTGAACAGTGTGTCTGTGTACTCTTCATTCCAAATCCTCAGAGTTTCATATTTTAAAACATTTACATTATTTTTTTCCTCCTCTCTGTGTGTATATATATATATATATATGTGCTTTTTCTGAACCATTTGAGAAGTTAGGCATGATGTGTTGTTACTTCTGCAGAACCACAGTATGGTGATCAGAGTCATCAGAAAGTACACATTGATAGAGTGTTGCCATGTAATCTGCAGACTTTATTTAGGTTTTACCAATGATCCCGGTCAGGTCCATTATGATAATGATGTTGTTCAGTGCTTTTGAGTTGGCTCAAACTCAGTGACTCTGCACACTGGAA